ATCCTGTCTGCAGACCGGGCTGTCTGGCAGGCAGTTCACGCCCTCATCCGTGATCACTCAGGCTTTCTGTCTGACAGGATATCCCTTCTGCCCTGCAGCCCCGTCCCCGTGCTGTGCATGTCCCTAACCCGCGTGCTGCGCCTGCGCCCCCACCTGCTCCGGCCAACCCCCGCCGCAAGCGCGCAAAGTCCGGCCGCGGTGCAGCCCCCGGCCGCCCGAAGGCCAAGGCTAAACCTACCGCCTCGTCCGCCGGGGCTAACCAGGTGCCTGCTGCAAAGGCGTTCGACAAATCTTGGCACAAGAAGGTCAATGGGGTCGAGACGTGCATGAGGGGCGCTCGGGAGGTGTACCGACCCCAACTGCCCGCGGTCCCACCTCTGTCCGGTGCCCCTGCCTAACGGCAAACCCTGTGCGCAGAAGCACACGGCGCTCGAGCCTGGCCACTAAGCATTGACTAGATGTCGATTCGGCCTCCGCCCGTTCGCAGTCTGTACAGTCAGTCTCGTCAGAAGAGGCGCCTGAGCCTGGGCAGCTGCCACCACATTCGTCCGTTCCCGGATGTGGACCTCACGTCTGTGGCGTGCCGTCCGCGTCCTTTCCTGCAAGCTGTCGGGCACGCGCCTCAGCCAGCGACGTCAGTCCCAGTGCCTCGCCCCCTGCCCGGTCCAGCCTGCACTCGTCTTGTCATCCGCGCAAGGGGCTCCCCCGTCCACGTTTGGGGGGTCGTCCCACTTTGCAGGCAGCTCTGGAATCACCAGGTTCTAGCTTCCGCCTGCTCCCCTCACATAAGATTTTTGTGGACTTGTTTGCGGGGGCCTCGGCTCCTCTGTCCGCAGCAATCTCTGCCCTTGGCCTGGCCCGTCTGGAGCCATTGGACAAACTCCACGGGTGTCGCTTTGACCTCCTCGACGACCGCCAATTCCGCGAGCTCTGTCTGCTCGCCTCGTCCGGCATTGTGGGAGCCGCCAGTGCCGCCTTTCCGTGCGCGCCGTACTCTCGAGCTCGCTTGCGACCTGGGGGTCCCAGTCCTGTCCGCACTGTCGCCCATCCTACCGGCATCCCGTCGCCTTCACCCTTCCGTGTCGTCCACCCTTCATAGCCGCGCCAGGCATTTCCTAGCTCTCGTTGCCGCGCAGGGGGGTCTGATCATCCTCGAGAACCCCGCCTCCAGCCTTCTCTGGCTGGACCCCTCCGTCCGTGCCTGGCTGTCCGTACACGCTCCGTTTTGTACGCACGTTGCTGCCTGCCAATTCAGTATGTCACTGCCGAAGGCCTGGGCTTTTTGGTGCAACTACGATGTCTTGTCTCCGCGTGAGGCAAACGCAACTCCGATGCTTTCTGTCTGCCCTGGCAGAGCCCATTCTGCTTAAAGCCTGGCATCACCTGCTGCCGTTTGCCTTCATCTGGCCCGTCAACTTCTCCCGCATCGAGGATGGTGCAGGCACCTCCAGCTCCGCCTTCTGGGGGCAACCCTTCCGCCGCAACCTATGGCATTGCCTTTCAGTCATCTGCTGTGACCCCGATATGGGTTTCTTCCGCCTGCTGCATGAGGGTGTCCGCCTTGGCATTGGTTCACCTATCCCGCCATGCAAGGTCCTCTTTCCGCCTGATCCGCCTGACGCGACAGTCATTCCGTTGCAGCATTGCGACTCCGCCTGGAAGTCCGCTCTTGATCATGCAGACCTGGTTGACGACTTGCTGGCGGCTGAACTGCGTGAAGGGTGGATCCGTCCGGTCCCCGGCGGGGACGAGGAGCTCCGTCGTCGCTATCACTGGGCAAACTGGGCGTAGTGGTCTCGCCTGACCGTCCGCCCCGCCTGGTTGTGGATAGTTCCATCAGCGGCGTCACCTCTAATACCCACCTCCCTAATAAGGCCCCTAACCCCTCCTTGTCCGACGTCCGCAAGTGCCTTCCTCTCTGCCCCTGGCCGCCCTGGTGCTTGACGTCTCCAAGGTCATCGTCGCGTCCGCGTCCGGCCGGATGATCAGGGATTGCTCTGCTTCCGCCATCGCGACGTCCTGTACCAGTCCGTCACCCTTAACTTTGGTGCTAGGGCCTCAGGCTTCTATTGGAACAGGGTTGCGGGTATGCTAGTCCGACTCACGCACCGGCTGTGGCGTGTCCGTCACTCAGCCAAAATTTACGTTGATGACTTGCTAGCTATCTTGCTTCGGTCATCCGCGCCTCTTCTGTCTGCGCTGCTCGTGGTTCTCCTTTGCATTCTGCGCGTCCCAATGAGTTGGCACAAGGCCGCTCTCTCTGCCCGGGTGACTTGGATTGGGTGGCCATTTGATTTCGAGACCTTCACGGTCCAGTTAGACCCCTCCAAACTGCGCCGTCTGCTTGACTTGCTCAGGCTGCTGTCCGCCTCACCCCGCTGCACTGTCTCGGCGCTCGAGAAGTTAACCGGTAAGCTCCTCTGGCTCAGCAACCTGTTTCAATCATTCCGGCCGTCCCTTGCTCCACTGTACACAGACCAGCATCGCCCTCTACCCAACATGTGTGCGATTTCTGCTGACATCTACTCATCTCTCCGCTCCTCCCTGTCCGAGGACCTTCGCGTCACTTCTGCCCTTCCGCTTGCAGCCATCCCCGTGGGCTGCAAGCTGCTCCGTGTTGCGCACACCCCAGCCACTAGCCTCAAGGATGTCCCTAAGCACGTCTCATCTCGGCGTGTCTGGGTCCAGGTCGCCAATCCCCTCCGTCCGGAGCGGGAGCTTTCCCCTGAGTCTCTGGAGGTCCTCCGTATGTGGCTCGCCCTCGCCAGCTCTCCTCAGCCTTTCCGATCGCTGCTGTACCGTCCGCAACGCTTGTGCAGACTCCTCTTCGGCTGGGCTCGGCGGTTATATCCGCCTTCCCGACGGTAGGCAGGCATGCTTTGCGCAGACCCTGTCCGCAGAGCTGCTGTCCGACATGTTCCCGTGGTTTCAGTCCGGCACGTCTCCCCAACATTGCATAGCTGCCTGGGAGATGCTCGCTCAGGTGGCTCTTCTCTGGATTCTCTCCCGACTTTTACCGCCTGGGCACGTGCCTTTACACGTCATTTTTCGCACAGACAACTCTCCGTCGCAGTCTGCAGCATGGAAGCGCCTTACATTGGCACGCGGCATGTGCCAGTTTCTTCGCCAATTCTGTCTGTTGCAAGAAACTGTCCGCATTTCAGTGCATCTGGACTCTGTCCCTGGTTTTCTTAACGATGTGGCAGATGCACTCAGCAGAGCTATTCCGCCCTGTAAGCTCGGATTCCAGCCCAATGAGGTTCTCTCTGTCCCTTGGACTTCTTTTCCGGACATTCCTGACACTCAAGAATGCCGATCGGACCAAGTCCTGTTAAGAAAGAACGGAAGAACTAACATCCCCGGAGGGAACTGAACGGCCGGAGCCCTGACGAGAGGTTTCTCACCTCTTTATCTGATTGGCCGAAGCCTCTGAAGAAATTTGCTGATAGGCACCCGGCCTCTGATGACTTATTTTCTGAAAGATACCTTCAGGTATCACATACAACACAGAAGACGCTGAAGATGCTGCACACATAGCATTCAAGTTGCTGATCGGCGCCCGGCCCCTGATGACTCAAACTCTGAAAGATACCCTCGGGCATCACACACACCGCAGAAGACATGGAAGCGTTTGCCAAAACTACCATCTCTGACGATGCACTCAAGGCACTCAAATCAAACTGCAAGGGAACGCGTCCATTTTGCACAGCAAGCCGAAAACCCTAAGCCTAGGAATCATCCCCCTGAGCCTCTGCCAGGTCCGTGGATGATGACTCCCCCGAACTAGAAGAGATCTCGGCCTGAGGATCACGGTAACACAACTTGCAGAAGCTGTCCGCCACTGTGGGCGTGACCTCCCAGATTTCCACCACCTGATGGCAGCTGCTAGAACTCACCCAACAACCATCTCGCTCGTTTCAGCAGCCAGCGGGAAAGCTCATCGAAGAGTTCGCTCTCGTCATAGCCCGGTTTTCCACCGGAAAGTTTGTCGCAAATAAGCTTTTGCGCATCATGCACAATTTGCTTGCACGT